AAGCCACAAATTTTTCTTCCGATCGTATTGAGGTAGCACCGACTTGAACGCCTCGCGAAACGAAAAGTTGAATGCCTGGCTGGGAGCATAGCGCGTTACGTTTTTCAAATTGCCTTTCCATAACGCAGTGAAACCCTCTTCTTTACAAACTCTAGAAAAGCAGTCCCAAACGCCCGTGTATCGATTCATTTTTCCCGACTTGATCTCAACTAGATGATCTTGATTTGCGAGAAGCCATCTGATCCGTTCGGTAGGGGCAATAATTGTCCTCGAAAACCCGGCAACGCCCATCGCCACCACCCAGGAGGTACAGAACGGGTACTTTTCAGGAAGAGTCGGCTCCTCGTGGTAGGGGTGGTAGGACATTAACACGTGATTCCGATGCTACTAGGATGACTTCGTGGCGCTGGAAGTTATGCTTATAATGGAGTTTCCTTGCGATATGAAAAAATATATTTCACGACAACTGCATATCACGGCGAATATCGCGTTTTTCACCGAGTTTTACACCACTTCACGTAGAACGGATGAAACTCCAATAAATAACAGAAGCATTGTCCAGTACTATCTTCTGTGTGCGTTATTCTTTCGCTCACCGTTACACACAACGAAAGATATGAATAACGCAAAAAAAACAAATCTCTCTATTATTATATGCTATTAATATTTACATTTACATCCATATTATATGGGCATTGATGATAAACCACAATAGTATAACGTACTATTGCTGGACGACATTTTCTACCCTACTCTTTCGACCCTGAGGGAAATCCTCATCAACACAGTAAAAATGTGCCCAAAGAAACATACTAATTCGTAGCATGGTGTAATCGATCAGACTGCTGTCCTCCGATACAATACTGAGAGACCGCCATCCCTATACTCCTCACGAGTCAACCATACTCGCTTGAATGAGCTCAGACTTGATACCACACTTCCGCCAACCCACGCTGAGAGCTTCCCTGAACCACGACTACGTCACGCGCCACGAAATTACACCCAATGCGACTCACGCTCTGGAGGAGCACAGATTTTAATTCTTGCATCCTTCGGAACCAGCTTGCGCATTTCCGACAAAAGCCTCTCGCCGAACCTTCAGCACAATCACGTACAGTACGCGACATGTAAAACGCGTAATTCTTATCATACCGGTTTTTCCTCAACCACATCTACTTTTGAGCTAATTTCTCCACCGAGCATTTCAGATATACATAACCTTTGCAAAAAGTGTTTCAGAATCTCGTGAGAGTGAAACTCAATTTTGAGTGAGAATTCCGGAATCAAATCTTGCACAAGTACGGTTAACATCATCAATAATCAGTAGGTCAAAATTGACCAGTGGAGCCTGGAGAAAAATATTACCGCTTTAGACACTCACAGTGTGGGGGCAAAATTTTTTTGAGAGAAGTGCAGCCCGCGAGGTTTTGAAACAGCCTCTATACCGAAATCTAAGTATCAAACCCCATTTCCTGACTCACCCTGGGAATAACGTACTGCCACCAGCGAGAACCTACAATACGGAAAATCCAAATCTTGCGAAACGCTCTAGAATTTCGGTAACTTCACATTATATATTTTCATATCGGGACACGCGGCGTTAAAGAATTCGTCGATCTCCACCAGACTGCCTTACTCGATCACATCCCACTAGAAGGCAATGTTGGAGGAATATATGTTCCCTTTCCTCAGCTGAGCTCTAGTAGGAGTGTACAGAAACCACCAAAAATTTTTTAAAATTTCCTCATAATTTTCTTATTATCACCAACACACACACTTGACCATGTGCATATTCCGACTCCTACTTCAAAACTCTTACCACATTTTGCAGCAGCGTTCGCCTTAGATCCATATCGCTCTTCTGTATGGCCTCATCCAGTAGCAGATGCACACCCTGGTCTGCCGAGGCCGCCATTGCTGAGGACATATCTCCCCCATATACCACAGAGGAGGAGGAGACACCCACTTGGATTGAATAGTATCTCAGGGGCTTGGAAACGCTCAAGGCCGATGTTGATAATAGAACCATCTGGCAGTTCATACTGAACATGGGAAAATTTGGTATTCACGACGCGACCAAAGCTATTTTCAGTTTTTCAGTCGCCAAATTGAACAATGGAGTTCCACCCGTTTTACGTAATACTTTGTGAAAAACCCGGTATTCGCGGTGATATGCAGTAGTCGCGGAGTATATTTTTCACTAGTATTTCTCATATCATTAGGGTGAAACTCCAAGGCGTTGAAAAACTGCAAAAACATTCTTTTCGAAAATCCAGTCCGTGACACATTTAAATAGTAAAACCATTTTCAGGGAGTTCCAATCATTCGCAGTGGTTTAGATTGCCACGTAAATTTAAATCTTCAGATAACGCATAGTGTATATTCTGTGAAAATCGTTTCAACAGCCCCACACATTTCTCAGCATTGCTCTAGTATATATAAAAGAATAAGATCAATTCTCGCTGTAACAACTGAGCAGTCGAGCCCACCGTGTGATCCAATGTTTGCTTTGCGCCGGCCCTCCTGGGGTCCCTGTCGAACTCCCACTCAGTGCCACCGCGCCATGCCCTTTGTACGGCTGGATGCAGGGATACGGCACAGCAATCTTCCTTCATAGTGCGGACTATCTAAGGTTGCGATCATCAAGATTCAGAATAGGCCCAAAAATGACCCACCTCTCGATCCGCCGTAGATAGTAAATGCACTCCACACTGCCGCTTGAGCGACAACTGCAGCCACTCAGTGACGCTCCTGACCATGCAAGCCTACACAGATGAGGACAGAGGCTCGAGCACCTCCCAGCTGATTCACCACGAGTGGCCGCATGCCCTACTGCATACCCCTCATAAACGGGCATAACCTGAATCGGTGAATGTATGTAGATGATATACAGAACGTGATGGGAAGACCTGTGCTACGCCGTCACCGATGTCTAGCACCACTCCAGTGGTCCGACCAGATGCATACAGAGAAAGAACAGGAGAGCAGGCGATGTGGATGGCTGGTACCTGCATACTGCTGCTAACCGAAAAGTCGCGGGTTCGAATCGAAGGAGAATCATCCAGGAACCTATAATGTTTCCGGGGTGGAAACTCATTTTGAATTTTCTACCCACGAACACATTCTTCAATCAGTTTCCCATGTAAATGTCATCATCACATTAGGAGCATCATTTCCCCCCATTGTTATCAAATCCTGGGGAATGTGATTTCTCAAAGCTGAAGGGGTCCCCGGCAAGTTACCTTGAAGACTTCGAAGAGACACTCTGCTAGCTTCTCACGGTGAATCATAGGATTCAACGGCGGCTCGCTTATCAGTACCTACCACGCCAGCAACAATTCTTTTGTAGCTGTAACAGTTGCATAAACTAAAGCTCTACAGGATGCTCCTGAGACCTGCACTTTAGCCCTTCACTGAACACATGCCGCCATATGCGTTCCATGCCCTCCCAATCCGTAACACTGCCATGCGTGATCGGATACTGTATATCCAACAACCCTCGGGAACTGGTCTCAAGTTGACTTCCTACTACTGCCACCACCTGCTCGGGTACGTCAACTATTCAAGATTATAAAGCTCACCTTATTCCCAACAGAACCGCCAACTTTGCTGCCCTTAGTCGGCTTGGTCACTTCTGATGGGCCCTCTACACCCTCCATCACTTTACGGTACTTAGGGTAGCCCACAGCTGAGAGTATTTGGACCTAATCCGTGCATGTCACTGGGGGCACGAAATGAATCTTTGCCACCTGGGGTGAATTCTCCCCCGAAAATCCAGCCTTGATACACCCGCTGCCATTGTCGATCACTACTGGCTGATTGCCAAGCATCACAAGAATAATCCAATGCACTACGCGCGCGCCCGA